CTGGAAAATTTTAAAAGCTGGAGAGTAATAGTAAACAAAGGGAAAATGGGAGCAGTGATAAGGTTATCGATGAGGTTTAAGAAGTTTAATCTGGGGCCAGGCGCGGTGGCTCACACCTGTAATCCTAGCACTCTGGGAGGCCAAGGCGGGTGGATCGCTCAAGGTCAGGAGTTCGAGACCAGCCTGAGCAAGAGCGAGACCCCGTCTCTACTAAAAAATAGAAAGAAATGATCTGGACAACTAAAAATATATATATAGAAAAAATTAGCCGGGCATGGTGGCACATGCCTGTAGTCCCAGCTACTCAGGAGGCTGAGGCAGGAGGATCGCTTGAGCCCAGGAGTTTGAGGTTGCTGTGAGCTAGGCTGACGTCACGGCACTCTAACCCGGGCAACAGAGCGAGACTCTGTCTCAAAAAAAAAAAAAAAGAAGTTTAATCTGGTATCTGAATGTAGGATGGCTTATAAGATTGTAGGGAGAGGAGGCAGCAAAGCTAGCTAGAACATTACATTATTCATGAGTAAGGCAATGAAAATAGAGAAGTAGAAATGGATTTGAGAGGGTGTCCAGGCTCTTGGCTGTTGGAGAGCCCTCTATCTAAAAAAACACACTCATTTTAGGCTGTGTAGAGTGACTTCCTTTATGTCAGCTGGAACCAGAAGTAATCTCCCAACATTATTGCCTTTCAAGGAAAAGGAGATTTATTGCACTTAATGGAATGGATACAGTATAACATATATTCTCTACAATCACAACAGTGTCCTGGTCTACTGTTTGGCCTCTCTCAGCTCAATGTCTCTTCTCAACATGAGCTTTATTGCCCCTCCTGGGTTTAGCACTTGCATTCTGCTGAATTCAACACATCCAGAGAAGGGATCAGAGGGCAAGCCTCTAACAGTTTCACAACGTGAGGATCTCAGGCCCCCAGTGAGGTTACTTCCAGGGTTGTAATTTTTTCTTCTTACAAGACCTATTACATAGTTCCTGCTAAAATGAAGGGTGGAGAGGGAGGGAGGGGTGACGCCTGCTATTCAAAATGCCTGCTGCCTCTTACCTCTTGACCAGTCTGGACAAGTGTGGTAGAAGCAGGAAAGTCCACTTTTGCGTGGGTTTTATGTGGGCTTGGGGTGGGGAGTCTGGGAATGGCAGCTACTGATTTGGTAACAGCAGCAGAGAGGAAGGCAAGAGAAGTATCACAGAACAGCAGCAGTCCTCTGTCACCTGGGCCACATTACAAATAGATATGGGAACTCAACTAACCAGGGAAGGTGAGGAAACAAGGTGGTAGCTGGCTTCCTTGCCGTCTCTGGTGCTGGAAACCGAAACTAGTTTCCCTGTTTTTCAAGGGACCTATTCACTGACTAGGTTAAACAGTTTATACCATACTTCGTTGATTCTGAGATGCCATGTTTTACATTTTTACATCTCTGATATCAAAATGTTTTGCATTTTTACATCTCTGATATCAGTATGTATCTTACATTGAATGATATATAATAGTTTAATTGGCAGCTTTTTTGTTTCCTTTGTTTCCTTTCCTTTTGTTTCCTTAGTGTTATGTAAAGCAATGGTACACTTTATAATCAGTGGTATCATTGGTTCAGTGGAACACACACAAGCGTATATGTGAGTTTGGTGGGGATTGGCAGGTGTTAAAGAGGTGAGACAAGTTCTCTCCTCAGAGGAGGAGTCAAAGGCAATGCTGATATTTTAAGCCTGATATGCACCTTATATGTTTATATAAAAGGAATGCTTTGATTAGTTTTAAGATTTTTGTCACTTTTAAAATTTTTATTTATTTATTTATTTAGAGATAGTGTTTTTCTCTGTTCCCTGGGCTACAGTGTAGTGGCACAATCATAGCTCACTGCAACCTCACGCTCCTGGGCTCAAGTGATCCTTCTGCCTCAGCCTCCCATGTAGCTGGGACCACAGGCGTGTGCCACCATGCCCAGCTAATTTTTTAAATTTTTTGCAGAGACAGGGTCTCACTATTGCCCAGGCTGGTTTTGAACTTCTGGCCTCAAACGATCCTCCCACCTTGGCCTCCCAAAGTGCTAGGGCTACAGGCATGAGCCACCACACCCAGCCATCACTGTTTTAAGTAAACTGTAATCAGGAGAATCAGTTAGAGGCTATTAAATGTCTCTCCGATTATTCCTTAAAAAGACTTAAGTTTTAGGGTCACTCTTATGATTCTTGTGATCCAAGGCTTATCTGCTTTCATTAAAAATCTTGCTTATTTTCTTTCCCAGAAATCATCAGTGAATTTCATTTGATTGATCCTACTGTTAACCTGTTTTTATTGTTATCAGTTTTTATAACCTGTTGGGTTAGCTTCTTGGCATTGTAAAATCTTTGTTCAGAAGAACTCTCTGGCCTACTTCTTGATTTTGAGTATCTAGTTGTGCCTTCTTTGTATCTTCCCTAGAAAGATTGTTAAGGTAATGATAGATTGTTTAGGAGAACACACATGGCATGTATATATGTGTATATGATATACTTTTTTTTGTTTTTGAGACAGAGTCTCTCTCTGTCACCTGGGCCCCGGCCTCCTGGAGTGCTAGGATTACAGGCATGAGCCACCATGCCTGGCCTATGATATACTTTTATTAGACTTCTAATTTAGAGATTTTAAGCATTCTCATGCCATTTATATAGTCTACATTGAGACTAGAAGTGTGCATGTATGCATGTAATCTCAAAATAGATAATATTGCTATATTTACAGAAAATTTCTGTAGTTATGGGAGTGAGATGATAAATGAATTCCAAGAACTTTGGTTAACAAAATGTGACCCATTAGTTGCATGGTGGGTAAGAGCCTGGCTCTGAAGTCAAGCTGCCAGGTATTTGAATTTTAGCTTCTATGACCTTCAACAAGTTACATAATCCCTCCGTGCTTCAGAACTGCTATCTGCAAAATGGGAGTAACAACAGTACCTACCTCATGGATTCTAAGAATTAATTCAGATAATGTATGTAAATTATGTAATAGCATGCCCAGCACAGGGTACAGCTGATGAATGTTATCTGCTATTTTTAATTAATAAGAGATCCTTTCAAGAGTGAGACCAGAGCTCTTGAACTATTGGTTAAGTAAAAAAATTTATTCCTAGTAAAGGAAATGTAGTTATGAGATAGAATAGGATCTTCTAACAATGCTTTTAGGAAATTCCCTAAGTTAATTCCTTAAGTTAATTGAGCATTTTTTTGAAATAGGGATGTAAGTTCCATGAAGATAGGTGCTTTATTTCTGTTTCGTCCACTCCTTTGATCCCAGTGTCTATAATAGCACCTGACTTATAATGATGCTCAATACCTATTTGTTAAATGAATGAAAAAGGGCCAATGGCACTTAAAAGCTACAAACTTCATCTTGTACATTAAAGTATGTAAGTTATTCTAGTATGTGGTACTTTAAAATGATATTTTAACAATGGTATGGAAAGAAGTTTTATCTAAAGTACTAGACACTCTGAAACCTAAAGTACACGTAAACAAATTGACTTTCATTGCTTTGTGTGTAAACAAAAGGATATGTAAGCAAATTGAAATGTTACTATTCACAATTTTGACAGGGTGTAATTAATAATAGGCTATTAATTAAAGAGTTTCAAGGTACTTCATATAAGGAACATAGAATTTAGGTCAGGCACAGTGGTGGCTCACGCCTGTAATCCCGGCATCTTGGGAGGCCAAGATGGGAGGATGGAGTGAGACTGGGAGTTTGAGCAATGTAGAAGACCCTGTCTCTACAAAAAATTTTTTAAAAACCACCTGGGTGTGGTGGTGCACACCTGTAGTCCTAGCTACTCAGGAGGCTGAAGCGGAAGGATCATTTCACTTGAGCCCAGGAGTTTCAGGCTACAGTGAGCTATGATTGTGCCACTGTACCCTAGCCTGTGTGACAGAGTGAGACCCTGTCTGTAAAAAAAAAAAGTTATTTGGGCCAGTTATGGTGACTCATGCCTGTAAGCCTAACACTTTGGGATGTCAAGGCAGGAGGATTGCTTGAGGCCAGGTGTTCAAGACCAGCCTGGGCAACATAGCAAGACCCTGTCTCTAAAAAAAAAAAAAAATAGAAAAATTAGCTAGGCATGGTGGTACGCACCTGTAGTCCTAGCTACTTGAGAGGCTGAGGCAGGAAGATCACTTGAGCCCAGGAGTTTGAGTTACAGTGAGCTATGATGATGCCGCTACACTGTAGTCTGGGCAACAGATTGAGACCCTGTCACAAAAAAAAAAATTATCTGCACCTAAAACTGAAAATTATATGCAAATGTTAACAGTAATTATTCTTGGATAGGGAGATTATATTTAATTTTAAAATTCTTGCTTTTATTTCTCTTTATTTTCTAATATTTTCTACAATACAATATTGTCTAAATTTTAAAAGGACCCCCAAAAACCGAACTGGTGCTTATTGAGTGCTTATGATGCATTCGTCATTTTAGACACTGGGGATACAGTGATGAACAAGGAAAGTTTCTATTTTCTAGTACCAGGGGAAGAGACACAATAAACTTAGACAAGCAAGCTCCACATTATAGAAAGAAGAAACTACTGAAGCCCCAAGATGTTAAAGTGGCTTGCTAAAAGTCATGGCACAGTTGGTATAAAAATCCCACTCACCTGACATTTAGCTCAGTGCACTTTCTGTTATATTAATACCTTACTGGCTTTCTTGACTCTCAAAAATGGCATGCAAATTCTTGAACATTCTAAATCAGAAGTCTCCGTGAATTTTGCTTTGAGTCTCATAAAAGAGTTCTTATTATAAGGCAGTGTTGTATAGAGTGAGGAACATGTGTTTTCTAGCCAGTTCTGTCTGTAGAACATTTGACAAATCCCTTAAGCTCTGTGGACCTTGTTTTTATCATCTGAGAAATAAAGATATTAGCTTTGATAATTATGAAGGGTCTTGCTTGCTTGTTACTTTCATAGTTTTATTATTTGATTTGGAATTGTGTGTGTGTGTGTGTGTGTGTTTTCTGCAGCCATACACACTGCTGCTATGGATATGCTGGGAGGATCTGGTATAGAAAGCCAATGTAGAAAAGTTGAGATCATCGCAGATGCCGCATATTCTATTTTCAAAAAGCCAAAAAGTTTTACAGGCAACTTTGTTATTGATGAAAATATCTTAAAAGAAGAAGGAATAAAAAATTTTGACATCTATGCAGTTAAACCAGGTAATGCTTATAGTTTTTAAAAGTAGTGATATGTTTTTCCACATTTTCTGCAGTGAATACATTTATTTTGTGTGCATGTTTATGTGATTATAAAATGAATATGTTCTTTTAAAAGCTGTCCTCCCAATGAAGGGAAAAACCCATACCAATACAACTTAAAAAAAAAAGAGAGAAATGAAAAATAGAAGTGAGTTGAGGGCTTTCGAAGTGATATATAAATGGGGAAGGTCATACCAGCTACTAGTCTTTCTAAATCTTGAAATAAGGAATTAAAATTAGTTTTTAAAGCTGGCCTTAAAATCACAGAGTAAAAGATTTTATTTAAGGATATAGTAACAGATGATGCAGTAGGAAGGTTTTTACAAAAAAATTTTTAAGATTGTTAACTGTTTTCAAAAGTTTGTCTCTTAAATGCAATCTCTTAGAGTAGCCTAATGACAGATGATAAAGATGAGTGAACAGGGTCTTTTTTATGTACAATGGTGTGATTTGAGAAGTTCCCAAAAGGCCCCCGTGTTCAAAAGTAACTCTGAAATTGTAGATGATGATGAAGAAGATGATGATGGATTTTTTCTTAATATATAAAATATAATACATTCTAAATAATAGGTAATGTAGCCATAAATGGGAATTGTATTTACTTGTGCTAAAGTATATTTTAAATAAAGTATATTTTAAATATTATTCATTAAACTGAGCTTCTAAGTGACAGAAACCACATGTTCGTATTTGTATTATCCCTGCCCATGTTTTCAGTTGAAACTGAATTAAATAGGTGATTATAGTTTCACAAAGCACTTTGATATACCTTATCTGTTTAACCTTCATAGCAATCCTGTGAGGGAAGTAACATTGTTTAGTGATTAATAACATGAAATTTGGAAGAAGACAACCCAGGTTCAGATTCCAGCTCTGATGGTCACTAGCTGTGTGACTTTGAGCATATCACCCACTCTAAGCCTCAATTAACTTATGGGTAAAATTAAGAGAATGATAACTTTCACACAGGTTTCTGTAAGAACTAAAGGCAATAATGTATATAATGTGTTTGGCATACTGCCTGGCATATAGTATGCTCACAATATTTAGTAGTTAATATTTATAAACAGAAAACAGGCTCAAAGAAATTAAGCCTTTGCCTAAGAGCAGATGGCTAATAAGTGGCAGAACCTGAACCAGATTCAGGTTTTCTGGGAGCTGTGGCAGTGTAATTATCACTTTAAGGTTTTTGTTTTTGTTTTTGCTTTTTTATAGAAGTGTGGTCTCGCTGAGTTGTCCAGGCTAGATGCAGTGGCATGATCATACCTCACTGTAACCTTGAACTCCTGGGCTTAAGCAATCCTCCTGCCTCAGCCTCCAGAGCAGCTGGGACTACAGGCACGTGCCACCACATTAGGCTAATTTTTTTTTTAGAGAGAAAGGGTCTCACTCTGTTGCCCAGGCTGATCTCAAACTCCTGGCCTCAAGCAATCCTCCTGCCTCAGCCTCCCAAAGTCCTGGGATTATAGGCATGAGCCACCACACCTAGCCCACTTTGGATTTTAAAGACAGTATCATTATGTACAAAATCTGAAATTTGATTTATATTTAAAACCTGTCAAGTATTGAGAACTTAATATGACCAGGTACTATGATACTAGAATATAACAAAGATCAACTGATTCCTGCCCTCCAGGAGTTAAGAGAGGAAAAGAGAGACGGGAGGCTAAGGTGGGAGAAATGCTTGAGCCCAGGAGCCAGAGGTCAGCCTGGGCAAAATAACAAGACCCTGTCTGAAAAAAAAGAAAGAAAACAAAGAGAAAGAGAGAGAGAGATTGAGATTGTTAACATCTAACTTTACTACAGTTTTGAGGGCTTTATGGCCTTCAAATCTCCTAGCAGGCACATGTCTTAGAAGTATCAGTGCTATGTTAAAACAGCTAACTTATTTTCTAACCACAACTGTTAGCTGAAAATAAGACCCGGTAGAATAGATAGCTTAGTTTTCATGATGATGAAGTGAGAGGAAGAGGAAGAAAGAAAAGACTCAAATGCATTAATGCCAGAAAGCAAGTCTTTGTTAATGAGGGACCTCTTGCTTTCTGGGGGCCAGGTAAGAAATCAGTTTCGAGTACTTCAGAGGGATGTAGGACAGAAAGGCTGTAAGGATGAGGAAGGCAAAGGCTCCTGGGGGAGCAAGTAAAGGCTTTACAGAAAAGGTGATTTTTTGATTAAATCTTGAAAATGAAATTTGTTATGGAGGAGGAAGATAACTGAGTTATAGGAAAATTAATGAAGATCGAATAGTTTGACAGTTCTCATGGGGGTCTTTCCCATTGCCCCAGAATGATCTTAAAATAAAAACAGATATAATATTTATTAAACAGCTATTAAAATCTTAATATTTTGTAGTTGTTACATTAACCTGATTATTTGGGGTCAATTTTTCAGGCCATCCTTTGATACCGGATTTCTTCTTAGATGAACAGCCAGAACTAGTTACCAAGAAAATGGAATCACAGGGTAAGATCTATATCATATTTTATGTTAGAAAATATGGGTACCAAGGTATTTCTTGCAAAGTATAGAGTTGATCGTATAACAGTGACACTTCTGCCTTCTGCTTTTGAACTGTTTTCTAGTTTAAACTGAACAAGTAATGTGAGTTCTCAGTTAATTCTAGTAAAGAAGGTTTTTTTTTTTCATTTACCAGTAAGAAGTTCTTAATATTAATATGTTCTTTGCATTTGGTTTAAAAAAAACTGTCTGAAAAAAATAACCTTTTTTTCAGGGTTTTTTTTTTTCCTGCACTATCTTTAGGTATTTTGTGTTGATATTTTATTTTAAGGAAAAATGTGTCATTATCAATAACATCTAAGACCATTTTCACAGTTTGTGCTGCGTGACTACTTTATGGAAGATATTAACTTTAAAGAAGGTTTTGGTTTTACTTTGTTTTGTTTCTGTAATTCAGGAACAATAACAGCCTCCCTGAATTGGTCCAGAGTTTACATTTCAGTTTTTGTGTTCTGGCAGTATGCCAGTGGCTTACTGAAGGAAGAAACAATCTTTAATGAATACCTGTGGGAAGAATTTCTCTCATGGTTTATTAACAAGAATGCTTCTTCTGTGTTGTTACATCATTTTTATCTTATAGATGCTGTGAATCTCCTAAGTGATCATAGATTTTTTTTTTAGAATGCTGATAGAGAATTTAGGAACAAATTTCCTCGATAGCTTTAAGCAAACTGTAGAACCTTGCCACAGTGCATTTTAGTGCCAAACCTTATTTCCAGCTTAATCTTATCTCTTCTCTTTCTTTTCTTTTTCTAAATTTTTGAGGTAAATTTTAAAAATTACTTAGGTAATAAAAAGGATAAATTTTTTTTGTATTATAGAAAATTTGAGAAATATAGGAAGGAAAATAGTTGCTCACAATCCTACTACCCAGAGATAGCTCTTTTAAAAATTAAATCTTTGATTCAGTTGCCACAGGGATGTATCAGAGTATTAAAGCCAGAAAAAAACAAAATTGTCAGTCTTTTTTTCAAAAAGCCCTTTATAAAATGACAGAAATTACCTAAAGAGCCTATCAAGGTCTAGAAGAATCTAGTCTTTAGGTAAGTACGAAATCCTGATTTTTGCCCAACACCCTAAAATTGGATCTATCTTTTGGAGGAAGATAGGCGTGAACTGAGATCATTTAATTCCAAAATTAGAAAAAAAATTTTTTAGAGAGAGGATCTTACTCTTTCACCCAGGCTGGAGGGGTGCAGTGGTGTGATCATAGCTCACCTTACCCTTGAACTCCTAGGCTCAAGCCATCCTCCCACCTTGGCTTCCCAAAATGATGCTAGAGAGAACATTTACTTTTATAACTCTCTTTCCCCTATTCTTTCTGGTTTAGTCTATAGCAATTCTACTTGATATTTTCTGTAGATATATTAATATACTCATATAGATAGTAGTCCATTATGTCTGGCCTGGGATCTAACATCTCTTTCAAGTGATTTTTCATGCCCAAGTCCAGATATGTTCCCTTCATAGTTAACCTCTCAGAGGTCAGTGTATATCCCTTGTTTCCAAAGGGGGAGCAGATCACCTTCCTATTGCACTCACAACCCCTGTTAACATTTGGTTGTACCTTTTCCAGTATTCATCCTATGTATGTTAGTTTGTGTGATATATATGTAATTATTATAGATTATGTACATGGCTTTAAATGTGTTTTTCCTCATCATAAAAGCAATACCATCATTTCTTCATTGGTTCTCCCACCCCCCACTGGAACACAGGGAGCCCACTCATTTTTTTTAACTTCCAGTTTATTTTTATTTAGTTATAGTTTTAGTTGCTTCTGTTCCAGTTGTTCTGGATTCTCCTCAGAAACACTTACTCTTTTTTTGAGACAGAGGCTTGCTCTATTGCCTGGGCTGGAGTACGGTAGTGTCATCATAGCTCATTGCAACCTCAAACTCCTGGGTTCAAGCGATCCTCCTGCCTCAGCCTCCCAAGTAGCTGGGACAACAGGCACGTGCCACCATGCCCGGCTAATTTTTAAATTTTTTGTAGAGATGGGACCTCACTATGTTGCCCAGGCTGGTCTTGAACTCCTGGGCTCAAGCAATCCTCCTGCTTCAGCCTCCCACGGTGTTGGGATTACAGGTGTGAGCCACCACACCCAGCCAGAAATACTTATTCTTAGTTTGGCTACCCTTTTCCTTTCCCTGTAGTTAGCACCATCT